TATAGAAATAGAGCAGTGTAATGATATGATCAATAGCAAGTTCGGTTGCTTGCATTAGTGCGTACCGAGTGCACACGAAGGCTTGTTCAGAGTCAATCGTTATTTATGACTTGCCATCTTAAATACATGTTTGAAAGCTGTTTGGCTAAAAAAAATAATCCGTGCGGATACATTTTAAGAAGTACTTCAAGAGATACTCAAGACGATCCTTAAACATAAGAATTGACCGTAAACGAGCCTTAGTGCGCGCCAGTGCAAGCAACTAAATTCGCTATAATTGAACATTATGGAAAAAACTGTGAGAATCCGCGCAGTATTTCCTCAGTGCAATATTCTATGTGGCTACTTGCATAACATGCCTAACGCAGATCATGCTCAAGAAAATAACATGATTGGTAATTCAAATAAATTCTCGGTTCAACGGGACGACAAAAGCATTTTCTCATGTCGCACGCAACGGCAAAACCGACACTGACGCGTCCAAGGTTCGCGTGGGTGTCGCCACAACGATAGCGAAAGCGTATTTTGCCAGTCGCAAACGTACGGGGTCGCCAACGTACACACCGCCCGTCCCGATAAAGTGTGTCGTGTACATTTAACAAACGCATACACAAATGTAGACACAGAGAACACGCAGGCTAAGAAGTCTGTAGTGTTACTTTCCTCTCTCACCTGCTCCATGACCTCGGGCGCCATCCAACACGGCGTACCGACGAAGGTGTGCCGGACCTTTTGCCGGCTCAGGTCGCGTCCGGTGGCGAGCCACGCGCTGACACCGAAATCGGCGATCTGCACCGTGCCATCCTCGCCTAGTAGGATATTACCCGCTTTTATGTCCCTAATATTATTCTGCCGTTAAAATTCGTCTAGATACGTAGATAATAAAATGGCTACACAGCTAGTCGCTATCTTTTCGATGATACAGTTCCACTTTGACGATCGAACAGTAAAATAGATCATGGAGGAACAAGCGCACGTTCTAAAACTGTACTTTCAACAAAGATAGAACGACGATCCACATGGAACGGGACGTGTTTCGCGATACCTGTGAATCTGTCCGTTGCTGTGGAAGTATTCAAGCCCCTTGAGCACTTCTCGAAGTACCGTGGCAATGGTCGCCTCGTCGAACACCCCGTGTTTGCAATTGGTGGTCCTGGTTTTGTGCTTGATGATGTCCAGCAGGGAACCACCCTCCAGCAATCGCAGGACCAGCCAGAGCTCCTCTTTCACCACGAACGACGTGTAGTACGTCACGACGTTTTCGTGGTTGCAAGAGGACATCGCCTGGATCTCTTTCTAATGTTTCGCCACATGAAAAGTCATCTCGATTAACAACGACGACGACTTCCTGGCTCCACGTTAATGCGACATTTGGCAGCTTAACTTATTCGCGAAGGAAGATTTACTCGGGCAACGGAATGTCTACCTTGAGATCTTTGGAATAACATCTTATCGAGATAAGAATAATTAGCATTACCATCGGGCCTATGATGTGAAACGTTTGCATCATGCAACATACGTTATAATCGATAAGATCGTTAATCCAATGAATCATACGAGTATTAAAGCCTTATCAAGAGACGCGCGCGCGCGCGCGCGCGTCACATTGATCCGTCGCCGCGTCACGCAAGTCCAATGTCAAGATTACAATAAAAACTCACCAGCAGCTCGTCCATGTTCGTGTTCCATTTCTCCAAATTTATCCGCTTGATCGCGCATTTCTCCTGCCGCGGAATGCAAAACGCAGCGTGCACCACGGCGGTTGCTCCGACCCCTTGAATTCGACAACGGGGAAATGAATTAGCGACAGCGAACGGGCGAGAGAAAAGCTTATTTACTCGTCCTGCCGTTTTATCGCCGACCGTGATCGCGAGATTACGCCTAATTAAATCTCTCGGAGATTTGGAAACTCGACGAGAGATTCCTATTTATAAATATGCGGCGGACACAACGCAAGTGGCCGAGAGCGACGTCGAGAGGGACGCTCGAGTTTCACGGGGCGCCGGTATTTTTACTCGTTGCGTAGGAAATTGGAGATTTTGATCGGAGGCGAAATTTTTCGACGAGTCGCGGGAAAAATCGCGGCTGAAAACGCCGGCGGGCCGCTAAGGCCCGGTTTCGCCAACGTTGCTTAACTTTAGGCCTGGCTTAATTCGTTCTTTGTCTCTTTCCAGCTGTTACTTTAGAAGGAGCGGAACTTGTATTAAACTAGGATTAAAGCTGAGCGACGTGTGGCGAAACCGGGCCTAAATAATTTAGCTCCGCCACCTCTGCAGCTGGGCTTCCCGCAAATATAATATACACGACCGGCGATACAGACGCGCGCTCTCCTGAATTTTTATCAGGTGTCTGGTAACGTAAACACAGCCACGTTCTTCCAGGTGTCTAATGTACGCTACGCCAGTAACAGGAATGCGAGCCATCCGGTCGCACGCGTAAATAAAAATATTATTAAAGGCTTGTTTTCTATCGCTGCACTGGTCAACTAGTGCAGTAAGCTAGTATGAGAAAAAATACACTTGTTTCACTCCAATTTACTGCGTCAGTTGCATTTACCAGTGCAGCAATAGAAAACAAACCTTTAGTAAGATAAACGTACGTAGCTCTATCGCGGAGCTGCCGGAACTAGTTCCAAATAAACGAGACAAACGGACGATTTCTCCGCAAGCGACATACACGTGTCCCTCCAGATATTTTGTATACATACGCACGAGATAATACGAGATTAAAACCCTGGTCTTCATTAACGTCGTTTAACTTTGACCTCATTGTCAGTTGAAACCTCTCTTGTCTTCTTCTAAAGGAGCAGATAAAAAGAGACAAAGAATGAATTAAATTAAGCTCGAAGTTAAATGACGCTGGTGAAAACGGGCACATAAGATTAACAATTAAAAATGCAGGATTAACCCTGGTTTTCACTAATGTCGTTTAACTTCGATCGTACTGTTAGTTAAAATCATCTCTTGTCGCCTTCTAAGGAAGCAGATAAAAAGAGACAGAGGGTGAATGAAACTAAGCTCAAAGTTAACCGACGCTGGTGAAAACGGGAAAATAAGATTAACAATTAACCATTAGGCCCGGTCTACAATGAGTTGTTAGTCGTTAGTCAGAAGTCGGAACTGTATGTCGGTCCTTTTTCTTCCACTCAGAAAGGAAAAGGATCAACATATAGTTGCGACTTCTGACTAACGACTAACGACTCATTGTAGACCGAGCCTTAATAATACGAGATTAAGATTAACCAGAAATAATGCGAAATCGTCAGAATTATTTTAGTTACAGCGTGAAGATTAGTTTCGCCAAGGTAACGTCCTTTCGTAATTTCGCAAGAGAGCATCTCAAGCTAAGACCCGGAGGCTCCGTAGCCGCGCGTGGCGCCGGTGCCCCCCTGTTCCCCGGCGATCTCGGCGCGCGCGCACGGCACTGGCACGCGCGCACCGTCCCGTTCTCCGGCGGCAGGTTAACTAGGTTAGGGTAGGAGCCGTGCGGCGGCAACTCCAGTGCAGCAGCACCGGCAGCTGCGTGACAGCGCGAGTGCGAGAGGGAGGCCGCGAGGCGGAAGCGAGACGGCGATCGGCGGGCCGTCGTCGCGCCGTCCTGAGCGGGGAAAATGGGGCAATGGGGCGACGGAGCGGCGGCTTGTCACGCTCGAGCGACGACGCGACGGCGGATCCTCGCGTCATTGGCGTCATCGTCATCATCGCCCTTGTCGGCCCGCGGTGCTCCGTTATCGGGAAGCAAGTGACCGCTCGCTATCGGACTATCGGAGCCGCCGGTGGCAGCGGCGGCGGCGGCGGCGGCAGCGGCGGCGACGGCGGCGGCGCGCGTCCCCGTGGCCGCGAGCGGCGTTCGAGCGAGGTGTGCGCGCGCGCGCGCGCGAGCCCCCGCGAGCTCGCACCGCACGATCGTCGCCCCGGGTCGGACGAGTCCCGCACGGCGATCGGTACTCACCGATAACCTCCTTGAGCTCGTAATCGTCCTTGGTATTCGGCCAGCCCTGCACGACCGTGGAGGTGCTCGCGGACGCCATTTTGCTGGCCAGTGCCGTGCCGAGGCGCGCGTGCTTGCTGGCCGCTCGGGCGCCCCGCGACAACGAAGCGGTGCTGGCGGCCCGCGAGCTGCCGTCACGTGGCGGAGCGGCGGCCGGGCTGAGGGTGGCGGCGCTGACGCCGGGGGTGGCTGCGCGGGGGGCGCAGCGATCGTTCGTCGCGGCCGCGGATGCGCCCCGGCTGTTCCGGGCGGCCGGTGAGGACGCCGATGTCGCTGACGCTGCTGCTGTTGGCACCCTGAGCGGCGGCGGCGGCGGCGGCGTGGACGAGCGAAACGACTTCTGGCGAAACACGCCGGGCGAGCACGACGGCAGCACGTCGGGCGAGATCCTCCTGGAAGATGCGCGGCAGATTGAAAGATCCTGCGCCTCTCTGAGGCTCCCAGATAGCACACACAGTCCTATGAATATTCTTCTGGGGTGCGAATATTCTTAAATGGAACATTTCACCAGATTGCCGGGGTTGATATAAATAAAATGTCAAATTTTAATCGGCGCCTTCGCAACGTTTCGACCTTTGGTTTAGGTCACTTTTCAAGTGATAAATACCGTAACAAGGTAGACCGACGATATCTTTCTGCGATACTGTACAATTCGTTTATTCTTCTCGCGTAGATTATATGTAAAACATCTTTCTCCTAGATCTCACTTGAAAAGGACCTAAATCAAAGGTCGAAGCGTTGCGAATATTCAATCAATGGGGCCAGCTCGATTAAAATTGGACATTTTACAAATATTCTTAATTTCAGAATATTCCAATCGAATATTCTATAAGTATGTACAGATTATTACAATTAGAAATCGTATATTCATAACAAAGAAGGTTTTTAGAATATTCGTCGGGAATGTCTTTGGAGCATTCGTTCAGAATAATTTTTTAAGATTCATCGGGTTCATGTATTGCACATTGTTTATCGTGTAATACTCTTATCTTATGCAAAAAGCAGCGAAACCTGTGATCCTATCATATATAACCGACACGCTATATTCGATAGATTATTCTATTGACATTCGAAAAAGATTTCTAGTAGTGCCAGTCGAATGTTCCACGAACATAAGATAAAGAATGATCTATGGAATATTCCATTAAATTAAAATTTTACTTGTAATTTGATTTGTATCCATGATAACTGCGTAACACCGATTATTGGTTTGTTTCCTGTTAGAATTTGTGCCTGATTAAGGACCCAAACCCGTGGTCGAAACGTTGCACGTTATATTTTTATTTTTAATTTATTAAACAAGTGCCAGTTAAGGTCGACTAAACTGATCCATTGTTATTTATTACTGGCAACCTAAAGGGATTATCATATTCCAAATATTCTTGGCGAATATTCTTAAAATGCTCATAGGAGTGTCTTGTGCTATCTGGACTAAATCGTCTTCGCTTTCCTTCACTTTGGCCCGATATGTGGTTGTATTGGACCAGTGTTCAACCAATGTTTGGTCCATGCGCCACTATATAGGGAAAAGATTGTGGGATACACAACTGACTGCCTGGATCGATCGATTCGCCAATTTTATCGAATTTCTGTGCGCCGATCAGGCTCGGGAAATAAAAGGCGAATAAAATTAACGAAGGACTACGAATTAATGCCGATACGAGAGGCTTCCGACAAGTTCAATCCCTATGCATTACGAGAAGTATAGAACGTTGGAAGATTGACTGACCTCTTAATTCAATGATACACAACACTGACTTCTTTCATTTTGCTTGAAAGAGAATTAAAACAATCGCTCAACATTTGAAATAAACTCCGGGGCAGCCGGGGGTCGCGTTTAACGGTGCTTTATCCGAGTTCCCTATTAAGACGCGGTCTCGCGGGCAGAAAGAAAAAGAGCGCGCCCACCGATAACCAGCCCGCGTCTCGATTCATTGAGACGATTGACGTTTCCCGGGGCGAACAGAGCGACGGCGAGGCCTCGGTCGGGCCGTATGCACAACAAATTAATCGTAGGCCCATCCATCACATTCACGCTACAATCGTCTCGGGGCGGCGCCTCTAATTATTAAGTAGTGTGAGCGGCAATCAGTGACGCCGATCGCTTTAATTGGCCCGCAAGATAAAAGCCGCTCCAACCCGGTCGTAAATATCTGCGGTACGATACCGAGCGCGCTGCCAGAAGTCTGTCTTTGTTGTCTAAAGTATTAACCCGCGGTAACGTGGCGATTCCTGGCAGCGGGCAATCGTTAAAATCGAGGGGGGAAACCGCTGAGGGCATTGTGGTGTACAGATTTGCGGCATTACTGGCCATTGCTACACAGTTGAAATATTTGTGTTAAATTTCACAGATGTCACATGTCCCGAGCGGTCCGCACAAATTTTTGTGTCGACTTAAAATAATATGGATATATTAAGCAAACACACTAATACTCTGTTAATATTTTAACACAAAGTAAACGCAAATCTCGAAATAATTTGAAATAAATTTTGTGTAAAATTTACATATTTTTAATGGCAAAATAAATTTAAAGAATGTAAGTTTTACATTTTACAGACGTGACAAGTCAAATGGCGGTTCGAAATCATTCTCGCTTATGTTATATAGAATAAAATCAACGTTTTAAACTGCAAATTTTAACAGATAAATCTTGTTACCAATCATATAGAACATATTGACCAAATTTGTGTCAAATTTTGGTCAATATGACATCATCCTGACTTTTTGTTCTCCTTGGCTAATTTTAACCGGCATTTTTTTTAAACAAGAAAACACCAATTTTCCCACCGTGTAGGCATTTTTTGGGCATTGGTTCGGGCATTAGGCCTTGCTGGGGCATTATAAAGATAAAATAAGATAAAACACGATGAAGCAATGCCCACGGGGCATTAGCGGGCATTGGTGTGCAAGATTTTGTGATCAGCGGTTTCCCCCCTCGGTTAAAATCCCGACCACGTGCGTCGCGAGACTCGATAGAGACGTGTAGAAGAGGGACGATTTCTCGATATCAATTCGTGGGCGCGGGTTCCGTGATTTCCCGTGACGTCTCTTAACGCGTTAATCTTCGCGTACCTAGAACCGCCCATTATCTCTAATCGCGACAGACGCGACGGGCCCCGAGGGTTTCCGCGTTCCTATCGATAGCAATCGATGCCCTCGGCGCGGCTTTCGCAATTCGCGATTCAAATTAAACTACGCCCCCGCGGGTTTCCGTTTTATCGCCGCGCTTTATTTGCACGGCGAGATTTCGCGATGACCTTTGCCGCGCGCGCGGCAGCGACAGGTGTGCTCTTCCTCCCCCGCGGGAGGACACAATATATATATGTACATATGAAAGCGACCGTCCGTCGAACGTTTCGCAATCAGTGATTTGTGCAGCTCGTCTACGCAGCGTCCTTTTACAAATCCGCCGCCGTCCACGATGATGCTCGGAAAAATGAGCGTCCTGATAGTAAGTCTCGGCGGTAGCGGGCGGGCAATCTCGACACGTGCCGGGATTTAAATCTTGCGCGAGCAGACTCCGTGCTGGATAATCGCGACGGCACGCCGTGCGGTCGTTCGCGCGCCGCAAGTTGAATCGTTTTCAAGCGAGACGCCGTCCGTCCGTTCAAATTCCCCGTAAACGTCTACAAACGAAAGGCGTTTACTCACTTCGGCGGCGACGGGGAGGATTCGCCGAAGGTACTCCGGCTTCTGTCCGACTTTTCGGCGCGAAAACGGCGCGAACGCGCTCGCGGCACTCGCGGCCACACTTTAATTACTTCCCGTCGGCGATCGATCGGACGGAGATTCGCGACACTCGGCCTGCCCCGCAGCACTCCCTGCGGCGCGATCGAATCCCGAGGCTTCCCGATGTGGGTCGCGTAGGACCGATCACGTGCCTCGATTTCTGACGTAGCGACGTAGTAGGACGGGCGGGCAGCCAAGCCGAGCGCCAGCCAGCCAGTCACGCTCGGTCACTCACCTACTTCTGCCGAGCACCAAAGTCGCCAGAAATCTGGTGTCTTGAAACTTCAGCTGCTCCTCCTCCGTCGATATGGGCGCCGCGGCGCCCAGGGCGCCCGATTTGCGCTGCCCCATGCTGCCTACTGCCCTGCAAACCGATGCACACGCGTTAGGCGGGTTGCGCGCCCGTAGGGGACCGACGGCTGCGCGAACGTTACGTCCTAACGCCTGGTTTCACCAACGTTGTTCAGCTTTAAGCTTAGCTTAATTCGTTCTTTGTCTCTGTCCAACTGTTCAGCCTTGTGTCCACGATCCAAGAACTGTGTCCAAGTTCTAGTTCCAAGAAATGCGTAGCCAATCACCTTGCGGCTTTTATGGAATAGCTGCAGGTTGATTGGCTACGCATTTCTTGGAACTAGAACTTGGACACAGTTCTTGGATCGTGGACGCAAGGCTTTACTTCAGAAAGAGACAAACGTCAATTAAACCAAGATTAAAGTTAAGCGACGTTTGGTGAAACCGGGCCTAAGACGCTGCGGGCGTCTTCAGAAAGATCGCTCGTCGCTCGTTTCTCGGCCAACGAATACGTTTACCCCGACGTCTTTGATCTCAAGTCAATTCCTCGCGACTGAAAAGCTGCGAATCGACAGTCGGGGACTTTTCGAAATCGCGTCTGCTCGCCAGTTCGCTGGAAAAAGCTGCTTTGCAATTGTTGTAAGAATCCGGAGTCTAATTGGTGTATGCTCTTCAGCATGGCAGAATCTAAGGGCATACTCCAATCAGGTTTACGAATTTTCTCGTACAGCACATAAGTGTTGAATCAACATCTCAGAAACGTTCCATTACAACAATATTGCAATATGGCGTCAATGTTACGAAATGTAGATTCAACGTTGAAAAGATATTGCAAGAACGCCTAATGTCCGCTGAATTGTAATGTCTTGTAAACGTTACAATTGAACATTCAAAAAACATTGTTGTTGTATGGGCATACAGCACACAAATGTTGAATCAACATCTCGGAAACGTTTTATTACAACATTGCAATATGGCATTAATGTTACGAAATGTAGATTCAACGTAGAAAAGACATTTATACTTCAACATTCAACAATGCACCGTTTCAGCAACATTATTTTAACTTTCTGCGCTGTATGGGTTCGCAATTGTTGCAGAGCAGCTTTTTCCGCTGAACGCAGCCATTGTCCATCTCGTCTTGCAACTTTAAGTTTAATAAAATTAAATCATTACAAAGTTTGTTGTATCTGCCATGTGTATCTCGCGTCGCCTACACATGGCGCTCGAACCTCTTTTTCCGACGTGCCTGTTGGAGGCTGAAAGGGTCTTTTAAAAGGGGCCTGAACCTTAATGCGCGCGCGAGATTATTCGCACTTGGAGCCGAAGGCCCCTGGGCTTCGAGCCCAGTGGAATATTTCTAAATTGGCGGTCAGTCGATTGTCACCTAAATATCTAGATGGGATAATTGAGCCTGGATTGGCCTTACCGGTTATTTTTAGCCACGGCAAAGGGGGTAGACCCTATTCCGCTGGCTAAAAATAATCCGATGGCGTTCAACGCTTTGTTGCAGGCGCGTATTAAAACGATCCTGCTTCCTTTCGACAATTCTTATTCCGCGCTCTCGGCCGACGCGCGAGATCCGTACGAATCGTGAGAACGAATTCGAACTAACGAACGCAGAAAGTTCAGACGCTGGTCTCCTCACTGGCACGCAGATTATCGGTCCGATTTAATGCCTCAACGCTGATCTGTCGACCGGATTTGATTTTGAATTACCCGAGGTTTTCCCTGAAAAGAAGACACTGTCCCAATGATGATTTTAAAAGAGACACAAACGTCGTGAAAGGTTGCGCTGAGTCGATTACATTGTGTCGGCAAGTGCGCGATGTCGAGCTTGCGGACCTGCGCAGTTTTCGAAATTATTCGGTCCAATTTTAACGCAACGCGTGACATCATCCACCGGTTGTACCCCATCAGCAAGAATCTTTCCCGCCGGCTTCAGGCATCACCTGATTACGATTAACAGGTCTATAACGGTCTTATTCCAAAGTGATTGGTCTAATTATGTCTTCAAACACGAGAGGCTCGCGCGAAAATGACACCTGTGACGTTTTAGAGTACCACCCCAAGCGGATCGCGATACCTTATTTTAGCACGTAGTCATTAACGCTTCTTTTCACGTTCAGCCTCGTTTTATTTCAAGAGCTACGCCAAAATGAACACCTCATGTCCAAAGAATCCTCAGATAGCCGACGGAGCGCCTTCCATCTTCTCCATTATTAATTACCTCTAACATTCCATTTCATTTTTTGTTTCGTCACTCCGAGCGTCAGGTTCCCTCCCACATTTTTCGACCGTTTAGTCTCGTTATTCACGTGGATTTAACAATAGAAGTAGCTTCTTTCTCAGTTCAAATCACCGAGAAGAGGTTCTACATTTCTTTCTTCAAACTCTGTCAAAAAGCTAGAATCGCTCATCGTTTCATGCGTCATTAACCGTTCCTCGGATAACGGGGTTCTCCTAATATTTGGGTTAAAAGTTTAACTCGCCGCCGCGGGTTAGAATCGCGATTTTAATTTAATTCGGACCAGCGGACGTGTGCCGTCGCGTCATCTGCTGCCTACGTTCAGTTTACGCGCGGCCACCGTACACTCTTCAAGTTTTCATCATTCCGTCATTTCCTCCGCCTCGTGTCGCGTCACGCGAACGTGTTTGCATTTAGCGCTTTCGAGATCTACGACGAATTCCTCGGCAATGTCCCATTCTGAGATCTTGAATCCAGAGAAGAAACAAAATCAATGTATTTCATTCCATTTGGATCGCAAACCGCAATGAGATTGCTAGGAAATTACCTGCGCCGAACACTTAAAAATTTCTTGAAGCTCAAGTTCTATTACTTCTCCGCCTCGTAATCTTCTGCCTTTCATTCTGTACGTACGACTCCAACATTAGAGTCTGCGAGTCTAGACACCGGGCGCTGTATCTAATGAGAAAATCCTCGAAGTAAATGACCACGCTCGCTCGAGAGGCCAATTGTTCTCAGATATCCATTCGACAATAACACTTTACAACGTGCTTTTACTGCATTCTCCGACATTCCACGCCAGAGTCACATGCCGTCTCGAATTAATAGACTGTCGCTGCTGCGGTATTTCTAGCGACATGTAGATTTATTGAATTGACTTTGCATCGATCTTAGTCACCGCGTGTACAATTGAACAAACAAATGTGCCCATCGCCGTCACTAGGCGGAATTGTGACTATTGTAGTATCGCTGCGTTTCAATTTGCTACCATAATTTGGATCATCGCGGCCTTGACGGCAATTCCCCGATGCGGCGTGTAAAACAGAACGCGAGATCCCAAAATCTTGAAAGACACGCGAAGCTTTACATCTTCTTCCAATTCGCGACGGTTCTCTCAGCTAAAAAAAAAAAATTTTAATTTCGCTACACATTACGACAATAAATTACAATCTTTCGTTTCTGACGTCATAATTCAATATGCTTGCTATTTACATGGAGACGTGTTGTAGACTTTAATATATGGCGATAACAATCGGTCACATGCTCGAGCGGAATTGATTGGACGGTAAATGACCGTGTTTTTCTCGGAAGGATTTACATTCTGCAAATACCAGATCTTTTAGTTCAAGTTCCTTCGACTTCACTGTGCCCCCCCGGTGTCTTCTCTCGCGTGTGTGCAAGTGTGCGCGATACGAGATTTATTCTGCTTAGTTGCACACTTATATTTGCAATACCGATACTGATTTATCTTTGCCTTTCACTCTGCAATTAATGTCCAACGAATTAATATTTGCTCGCTCCGAATAGATTATTTTTTTTTGCGAGGATGATTCTTTTTCTTCAAGACCGACGTTCGCGCGCGCTCCACTTTAAGGCGCGTGAAAACACGATTAACTGGACGGTCCGGATTTTCGAAAAGTCGAGATTTCGAGTTGCGCTCTCGTTTGAGTCCACTTAATAACGCCGTTCATCAATGGAACCTTTACTCGGCCCGCAAGCCGAGGGTCAATTGCTTATTAACTCAAAGAACCGTAGCGGCTATTAAACGATTTCATTGTCATTGAAATGGTTTGCAAAAAAACGGCCGCGCTCATCCGGAAATATACTCCTTCGATCGGCTAATATTCCATGGATCGATCCACTAGTCCTGGCAGTTGCGTCCTGAGCGAATTTCTCTTACTTAAGCGCCTCACTCTTCCTCCGTACACATTCTGGAAAGTGCCTCGCAAACATCGCACTTGGTCGTCGACCACGTGTCCTCCCCGCAGTCGCCTTAAACGCCCGGAAACGAGGCAATTTGGCGGTCGCAATTTACGTCGGCTTATGAAATTAGATCAAACACGCTTGGAGACGATCTAAACAACGCCGCATCAGCGGTCACTCGATGCTGTACAGCTGCATTCGGCGTATCATCTGATACGTCATCGTATACATTACTGAAAATTACCGTGTCATCACACGTACGTTGCGGAATCATACCAGAGAATACACGAGTTACACATTTTACCTACTGTTTCTCCTGTGAAAACGTTCGTTGTTGAAACCGATTTATTTCTGCAATTTTATCAGTTTTAACACTACTTAGTATCAAGTGGATTATGATTTTAACATAAAATTTTAGTAGAAATGAACCTTTTCTATTAAAACACGAGAGAGAGACGCGCTTTATTATACTCTATTTATCTTTCTTTCTTCTCTGATTTATCTACACATCGCGATAAATATTTGCATCTACATTTGATTGAGAATTGCCCGTGTAATTTTTGTTAGGCAAATAGAGCTTCGCATCGGACGGGATCCTATTCCAGCGTGGCTATCTGATTTTCATGTCACGTTGACATTTGAATGCTATCTTGATAGGCGAGTAAAACTCAAAAGCGCTTGGCCATATTTACGCAGAGAATACGAATCGTCGTTCGTCACGAACGATTTCGCCAACCTTCCTCGAGACAAGCAAAACTGTTTGTAAATTCTCTTCTTGAATCCGCTGACGTGCTAATTTGCCGATTCCATTTTTAAATGTCCAAAGTAGGATTCGAAAGTTCCTCATCGTTAAATACCTACGAATCCCATCATCCCGATGTCCAGCGAGAGAAATTGAAGAATCGTTCATTCTCGTTCGTTATCGTTCGACGAATTTTGGTTCAAAAGATAAGATGCAAGTTAATCGCGCACGTGATCGATTCCTGGTCTCACCTGGCGGACGTTGACTTCAGAGAGCCATTCGCGTAGAGATCGGCTGCCATGGTACTGATGTCAGCCCGATAGCATCCCGGTCTTCGCGGATGCTCCGAGGACTAACTGCGAGCCGGGAACGTCGATCTCTCGCCCCTGCCTACCTTCGCGGCCTCTTCTCCCCGTCGAAGATCGACGAGCACGTATTCGGTGAGAAATTCTTCGGGATTCTCGGCAGCTGTCACTCACAATCGTCAACCTTGACCGGGCTCATTCTCGACGTGAATGAAACACCAATCGCTCCGGCCCAAACACGCTCGTCGTATTGACATTATTCCCATATCACAATACACGACCCGTCGACATGTACCAGCCCTTTATATATATGTACGTACGTCGGTCCCCGTTCATCTACTTGCCGTAACGCGAAAATCTCGTTGGGGAACGACGTCGGCACGATTTCGGGAAAAAGAGCGTGCGCAACGTCGCGTGGCGAGCGCGATTTCGAGGGAACGACTGTCGCTCTGTCAACGGAGAGGAGACGTAGGATCATCCTGTGCCCGCCTCGTGACTGAACTATGTCAGACGGGGCACTGTCAATTGGATAACTACCTACCCCACATTGGCACAGTGTTGTCGCGTGTATGTAATGCGGCGTATCGTTGATGTTGAAAGCCAGCACGTAGTCCGCGCTCTCCCACTTCTTCTGGATCACTTTATCTCCCTCTTCTTCTTCTTCTTCTTCCTCTCTCGTGGGCATTCGTCTCTCTTGAGATACAGCACCAGCGCGTTTCCTCGTACGACCACCTTCCCTTATCCTACTTCATTTTTCGCCCCAGTTCTGCTCCTCGCGTACAGCGTGAGCGAGAAAGACTGTCCGGCGCAGAGAGAACAACTGGTTTAAACTTGATTCGAAGGCAGGGCCCTCGAATTTTCTCTTTCTTGCCTCTTATTCTCAAAGAGATCTATCGTCGATCCATCATCCGATTACTTACCGTTGCAACTTTATTAGCACTCATTGCTGCCGAACGTTACTTGGAATCGAAGTTAATGCTGCGGAGCTGGAAGAGCGCATTGTCTCGCGCGTATATTCTGTCGTCACTTCGGTGGCATGAATTAGCTCGATGACGCGCGAAGAATAATCCATATCATACGGCACGTCGACTCAATCACGCCGACCTTGCGAACCAACTAATACCGATCTTCGCGGGAAAGCCTACAGATAAAGTCGAAGGTTCTCATTAAAATGGCATTTGTCATTTCTTGCAAAATTACTTCTCTCTTCATTCATACACAAATATCTATTTTAAACATTTATAAGCATCCATAAACTTTGTAAACACCATATTTATCATAAATTTGGCGTATTATTTTGATTTAGATCGCAATCGCCTTAGAACCAACCCAGACAGCACACATGTCTAAAAGACGTCACAATATCTTTAAGACATCTTTTAGACATGCACGTCTAGACACGTGTGCTGTCTGGGAAGCCAATCCTGTTTCGAATAGCGACGTCTTCTTTCCGTAATTGGTTTTCCGAATGGCGTTTGCGTAAATAGAACTCAAATTTGTCATCGAGACATAGTGAAAATTTGCGTGAAATTTCGCAGAGACGTCCTTCGATTATACTCCGCGACGGTACCGAGGATAAAAATCGGGACCGAGAACCGCGGAGTCGCAAACGGGGGAAATTAGAAATGCGCATATCGTATTTCGTTGATGTGACAGACGGCGTGAAACCATTTCGCCAGTTGCAGTACTAAACGAATGATTCATCCTACCTCCAATTCCCACTTGCGGCGTCGACCCTCCGCGCGCGCGATTTACGCATCATCAGGTTTGATGGGTCGCTAAAGACTGCTGACTGAGACCTCCATCGAAGGTTTAGGCTTTATCAGTGACGCAACATTATACTTAAGAGGCATTGATGATTCTGTGCCATTGGTAAAGGAATAATCGGATGTGGACGTGCGTGCGTGAATGATTTGCGATGCCAACTGGGTTTCCTGGGATTCTTCTTTCTATCTAATCGACTTCGGTTCGATCAAAATTGAAGATAATCCGGCGTATCACTCTGCAAAGTTTTTTAAGACTGATTGTGATTATTTTCTGCATAATATCGAAATAAAATTTTACGCGCAACGCTTGTTCAACAATATCGTAGTTCAGAAACTTAAAGTTTACTTCGTAACTTTGTTTTTACTTGTTTACAAGGTGTATTTTGTTTGCAGATGGCCGAATGCCTCATCCTTAATCACGCGTCCTACGTGTTGAATAAACGACTGAATATCACTGAGCTAATTAGGGAGATCTTTGATCCTGAGTTCAACTACCAGGACCATTTACGTGATATACCGGTGGCGAGAGATGTCTCTTATCTGCCGGAGAACTATTATCACGCGGAAAATACGGCAAGGGGACTGCAGCAGTTGAACAGAGATAACAGAAATTTGATGCCGGTTAGTAAATTATGTTTTACTCCCGAAAAGGATCGTTCCTCATCAAGATAAAAAGTACTGTTAAAATATCTCAAAGATAAATTTTACAAAGAAATTAGGAATTAAATTGGATGGGATCAATCCTGCGATCAATTCCTTTTGATCTGTCCATTTTCTCTGTGTTTATTCCTGCTCGAAATTCTACTTATATTATTTATTCAGTACTATTTGCACTGAAATAAATACTTATATTTTTCTTTTCTAACTTTTGCAGGAATATCGCAATCTTTGCGAAACAGTAACAAAAAGAGTAGATTTCAGTTCCGATCCCAATTACGAGTATCAACCCCCGCATTATTACGAGGTCTACTGTAAAGGCTATTCATTGCTGAGCGAAGATGACAGACTAACGAAACCATTGGAACAGGTAAACTTCCACGTCACGCAGTAAAATAGATCAACATGTTCAATGAAACGGATTCGAAGCGACGCTCAAACTTGATTTACATTTTCTACTCAATAAAAAGTTTCAAGAAATGACGAATCCATCAGATTTTCGCTGAATCGATTTCAAGTTCAACGAGGATGGAGGAAAAGGTGTTTTTCATTTAGCACACAAAGCTTCGATTTAAGATTTCAACATTTTCTTCGTTCCAGAAATGCGTTCATCCGGTATTTCACTGCGTGCAGAGAAGTCGGCTTTTGACGTTCGTCAGACGACTTTGGGACAGTGAATGTTGGGAACCGTACACGAAGGAAATCGCCAGCGGTTGTGATTGCATGTGGCCGGTCACTAATCTTGGCGAGATAAGCCAGCACTATTGATTTAATAGTAAAGTTGTATGTGTTGAAGTTTCATTGTATAGTGCAGGCATATCGCAAAACTTTGTACGTACGTCCGCAATAAACAAGATCTTTCGTGAAAATATTTATTCGCTCTATGATATAAACGCAAATGAGAGGAACAAGGAATGTCGCTAGCATTGTCTTACCATGATCAATCCTCCTCCCTTATCATTTATTGCGAAACATCAACAATGTAAGATTAGTCACCTCGGGAAATATTTTTCTATGAAACTGTTCTTCCCGCGGTAGATTATTTCCACGAGTTTGCCTTGTGCTTCGGCAAGAAGTGGAATCCATCAGGCACTTTTCCGAGTAACATCTCACTAAAAATAAACCAAATCGTTAACACCACGGACCCAGCGGATCACGTTGCTTGATAAAAGCTAATAGCCTTACGATAATTTCACCCAATCGGCACAGTTGGAACTGGCCATCAGCGTCTCCATATCATCGCGGCCCCGATAGAACGGCGGTCTCTCGTTAATCCGCTGCGGTGGTCTCTCCAAAATTCCAACAGGAATATACCTGCGATACATTTGCGCTCGTAATGTAAATGCGTATTGAAGAATGATGTAATGTTTTAATCGAAGAAAACATATTTGTCTCAAAACTTTACTTGCCTGTGAAGGAAGGAGATCCATTCCAGCATGAATCTCCTGGTGGTCTCGACGCCGCGGGTATCGGAGCCCCAATGCTCCAGCCCGTAATCCGCATACTTTTTGAGAATGTCGAATCTCTCCCTGCTCGATATATCGATCAACTTTCTTTCCTTTATCTCGGTGAAGATCCACGGCTTGATCAGCGCTCCGCGTCCGACGGTGATCCCCTGCACCGACCGGTAGGTCTCCTTTACACGACGATAGTCATCGAAGGACAGGATGTCGCCGTTTCCGAACACGGATACCGGTTGCGCCGCTACCGCGCACTTTTCTATGTACTCCCAATCGGCCAGTTTCGTGTATCTTTGCTCACGCGACCTGCCGTGAACCTGAAAGTATCGCCGAATGATTAGTCGAGGAAGATAAATATTTCTCTCGCCTTTTTATCCTTTTCAAAATAATCTCTTTTTTAAGCACATTTTTCGGATCTTAACGTGAATCTTCTGTTAGAGTTTAAAGCTGATGTAGCACATACAAAATTGAATTCTTAAAATTATCAAGATACTTTGATTCTTTCCTCTCTCTCTTGAGAAATTTCATTCCTCGGCTCTCTCGAAAGAGATCAATTTACGGCAAGTTGTCCACGAATCAAGAACTGTGTCCATGTTCTAGTTTCGAGATATGCATAGCCAATGAACTTGCAGCTTTTCCGCGAGAGATGCAAATTTATTGACGGAACTAGAAGTTGGACATATAGTTCTTGGATCGTCAACACAAGGCTTAAGAAACGTAAATTCAACGGACTTACTCACGGTAATCATGGACACACCCCAGTCTCGAAACTTCGGCATTAGATTATGCGCGATCGGTTTGTCTATGTAGACCCCAGTTCTGGTCTTAACGGACAAGGGTATGTCCAACACCTGGCTAACGGACTTTACCACGGTCTCGAGTACGTTCAATCGATTGAGCATACCGCTGCCGCCGCCCTGTCTGTAAATCAGATCGATCGGGCATCCGAGATTCAGGTCGATGTAGTCCACGTCGATCTCGCGGTTCAGCAGCTCGGCGCAGCGCGCCAACACTCCGGGATTATTGCCGCAGAGCTGCACGCCGAAGATGTCCTCGCTCTCGTGCCGCTTCACCAGCGCCCATTCCTCCTGCGTGCCTTTCAGTATCTTCGGCGCCAGTGCCATCTCGCCGCAGGTGATGTCCGCGCCGTACTCCTTGCAGATCCTTCGAAACGGTAGATTGCCCACCGTAGTCAAAGGACTGAGCAGTATCTTGCCGCCCCAGTCGATCGTCCTCTTCTCCGACCGTCGCAACTTGATCAAATCGCTGTCGTCCACGGGTCCGAGTTTCAATTCCTTCGTCTTGTGCGAGGTATCGGAATTATCCGTCTCGGTATTCACGTCAGACGCGTCGTCCGAAATATTCTTCTCCGCTTTCTCGCCGTTGCTGTTGCCGGAAATATTAGTCGCGACGTCCACCTTTGTATCGTTCTCTACTTTAATATTCGAGTTCTGCACTTGCGTCTTTTTCCCGGACGGACCGTTGACTTTGACGATTGCTTCCGCCCTGGCAAAATTGTACTTCCGCTTGCGCAATTTATTCTGCAGATCCTTAGACAGGTGATTTTTGATGGCCGGCGGACGCTTTCTGTACTCCTCCATCTTCTTCTCGTCGACCACGTTAAAACCGTCCTCGGTCAAGTGCCGCGAGCCCATTCTACAAGTGATTCCCCTCGGGCACTTGCCGGTCAAATCGAAAATATGACATTCCGCCCTTATGTCCTCCGGCCTGATCTTCAGATACTCCTTTCGATCGTGCAGAAAAGTACATCGCTGATTCGAGCATTTCCTCTCAGGCTCGCTTGCCGTTTGATCCGCGATCCACGGGCACAGACTCAATTCCCTGGGAGCTTTGAACGGAGGCGGCCTCGCCTTATTCTGACCCCTCAGCTTCTCTCTCTTGTCGTCCAACTTGGGTTTTTTAACAGGTATCTCGTCCCACGATGCCACATCCGTGTCTTCTGTACCTGCGTCCGCAGACACCTTCTGCTTATCGGTCTCTGTCAAGCACTGTTCACTCAACTGTCTTACATGATCCTCGATAATAAATCTACAATGTTAGATACATGTTAGTTATTACAAGACAATGATAACGAAGTAGTGTATAATCGTTCTTTCGTCAGATATATATTAAAATTCATTGTTAAATGTTTCAAATAATTTCTACATAAAATCCATAATATATGCCTCGGTGGTCGAATTGGTCGAGACGCCCGCCTAGCGAAAGGAAGGTCCAGGTTCAAACCCTGGCTGAGGTGATTTTTTTCGCAATAAATTTAGAATTAAATATTTACACACTAACGCCCCGTCACGGCTCTTAGTCCTTTACTCCTTCAAATTTGTGTTCATCACGTTTGAGCCATACAAATTTTATTAATTTGTAAAATCCAGGGTTGGGAAAGTTACTTTATAAAAGTAACTAGTTACAGTTACAGTTTTTTCGCTAACAATGTAACTAGTTACAGTTACAAGTTACCAATTCTGAAAAGTAACGCGTTACAGTTACAGTTACTCGAAAAGTAACGAATCGTTACTTTGCAGTTACTCCCTTGCAATAAAAATAAAAATATCGAATCTGCATTTGAATTGTAAAGCGGCGATAAAGGCGTTTATGCGCAAATGCGAAGGCCTAATGCGATCTGTGGAGGTTGAAAAAATATATAAAGTAACTCTTAATGTAACTATTAAATTAGTTACTAGTTATCGAAAAAATGTAACTGAGTTAAGTTACAGTTACAGATGTAGAGAAAGTAACGAAGTTAAGTTAGAGTTACCAAAAAGAAGTAACTGTAACTGTAACTTCGTTACAAGTAACGAGTTACTTCCCAACCCTGGTAAAATCCATAAGTCATAAATTCAATACGTAGAATATCCTATATTACTTATTACATAATAACAAAATATTAATTAATGAAGTTGTTTGAAAATAAAAATTGAAGAAAAGCCAAGTCCTCTAATGCAAATAATTATTAATGCGAATGAAGATTTAAACAGCCAATTAAGGGATTCAATCAGATTTTTGATGAATTGCGTGCCGAGGGCACCATGTGAGCGATATTTAGAGGTTAGAAAACGGATAAGCCCACTTGCAATTATATTCGTACAAAATTCATTCGCTACGAGAATAACGTAAGTCATTCGATACGATCCACGTACTCCTCTTTTATCACGCAAACGCCCTTTTGTCTGTCCTCGCCATAGTCGAACGAACAATCTCCGCATTTCTCGTAATCCGCCATTTCTCCGCACGTGCACCTCGGTGTCGACTAAACGTGATGTCAACCTATTTAAGTTTTGGAGGCTAAAATTTTCACGGTTTCAATCCGCTGAATTAAGTTCGATAGCGTCTAAAAATTACATTTTTTCTTAATATCAATCAAATTACCTTCTATTTGATTATATACGCTCGATACTTTATCAATTTTCCGAAATTTAAATTTTTACATTTGCGCGAAACACGTACTGCGCGACATATGGCGCGACGGTCAGCAATTTCGTTGGTATTCAGGATTTCGCTGTTACCGACGTCAAATAATTTATCACTAATCCGGTAATTTACCGACGACCTGTCGTATCCGCAAAAATTTGAATCTTGAAAACATTGGCAATGAATTTGTTAATTCACTAAAATATACTTGTTAATTGAAAAATATATATTTCGATAAATTATATACTTTTAATATACGTTTAATAAAAAAAAATGAAACTAAAGAAATGCTGCTAACTAAACATTTTTTTTTATCAGTGTAACTTCTCGTACACCATGCAAGGATGTAAAAATAAATGTTGTACTTAGAATCGTGGACGATTCTTGAAGCATGTCAAAATGTGCACGTTTCAACCTTTGCTGATGCTGCAAAGTAAACTGGACTAAGTTAGGTTAAAGTTCTGCAAACCCTTAACGCTCTGTTTACTCACCGCAGTTCGCGCAGGTTCGCGTGAGGTCAAGTTGCAGGACTCGTGAGAATATTCGGTAAATTGTTGAGCTGGCACTAAGTTGAAATCAATTATTTTATCACGACTGCCAAAACAGACAAACGGGCACTACGTCGACAATTTTTTCGAATTCAAGCCTAATTATTGGCCCTTTTCTGTTTGCAGCTAATTATTGTGTTTACAGTGTTTGAGTAAGAGGTTAGATTTAATTTGAATAGCGACGTTACTTTGTGATCTCTACGAGAATGAATATTTTACTGCCTCACATAATACGTACAAGTCGCATTTGTAATGAACCGTATTGCGTATTTTAGAAAACTGCTCGTCTAAATATTCCGATAATGGATAAAATAGCACTGGATAGCTCTTCAGACGAGGATGATCCGTATACAAATTCCGTTGCTCGTTTGAGAGGTGAGTAACGCTTTTTCCATTTGCGACAAATGTAATTTAATTGTGAAAACTGAATACGTGGATATACTGAGATAAAAGCAGCTGTAATGCGCTTCGATATGTAAGCCTGATCTACAATGTGCTATTTGCGTCTGGAAACATTCTACTTTGTAACCAATAAAAATACGATCATACAACTTGTGCAAGTTGATAAATTGTACATTGTATGTTGTACAATCGTACGTTGTCGACGAGTTTTTCGAAAGCGTTTCGATTTGCCTATATAAAACTGAATGTTTCGAGACACAAAGAGCATATTGTAGATTAGGCGTTAGTGAATGGACATACAATTAATTTTTATAATTTTAAGCATGATATTTTGTATTTTCAGCATTGAAGAAACAGCGTTTCGAAAGTGATGAACCTGTTGAGATAGTAAAGAAGTATGTTACACAGATTGTGATTATTTAAGATCTTGTGTCGATTACGAAGTAAGCAATTAAAGTGTCAATGTTGCATGAATGATATCTATTTTGTTTTCAGCATAGAGCAGCAAACGAATGGTGAGGAGATGAAAGACGGAGAGGTAGACGGCAGTGAGATGAACGGTAAAGAGATAAACGGTAACGAAGTAAATGGTCAAAACGAGTATGTCGAAGAAATAAGATATGGTGTACAAACGCGAAGCAGGACGGTAAGAGGTAGAAGGAATAGAAATATTATTGCTAGGGCTAACCGTATTACTGCTACTACTACTAGAGGTAGACGAAAAGAGGGAAGGGTAATTTTTTTTTATATACATATACACATAATACAATATTAATATACATAAATGTATTGTTTATCTTGAAAGAGATCGAATTTTGATAGAGTTTCAAAATGTAATTCGTGTCTTCAAGATAAATATCACATATATGTAAAATGTGTGTAGATGTTCCGCTCAAAGAGGACAGTATACAGTTTTTATGTCAATGTTTCAGTATTTACCTGAAAATTTAGAGTGCGACGTGGAAGTCACGGGAGAGGTAAAGCCCAAGTCGACTCTCCAATCTAATGATGATATAATTACACTGTCAGACGAAGATACTTACAAAGAAGATGACAACTATGAGATTAATATCAAAGTACACTGGAGATCAAATAGACTCGATCGTTTGAGCATGTGTAGAGTATGTACCGGTTGTCAGTTAGTAACGTGGCAAATCGCAGTTTCCTACAATTGTTTTTGTCGTTTATTCGAGACATGTATAAAGATAGTTCTCTTGTTACAGCACGACAGTTTCAAAAAAATTTTCGAATATTACGCCAATCTGGAAAAAGTTTCTGTGAATGAAATCCTAATTATGAAGAAGGATAAAATTATTAATCACGCCGACACCCCTGCGTCGCTCAAACTTTCCATTATAGATATACTCGGTTGGTATAAATGAGTCGTTGAGCTTACGACAATGATGTGACGCTTTCTTTATATTCGTAGATGGTGGGATAGTGAATCCAGGCATGAACACGACCGAGGAGAAGAACAACGACGAGGACATGTGCAGCATTAAAGTGCAAACGGCGAACAAAAAACAGTCTTTGACCATTCCACTTAGAAAGGATGAGGGATTTAAGGCGCTATTCGCTAATTGCGCCAAGCAACTTAATGTGAAGGAGAAAGATCTCAAGTTTTACTTTGATGGAGAGCAGATCGATCCGACAGACACTCCGGAGTCCTTGGATCTCGAAGGAGAAGCTTGCATCGATCTTCATATCTCTACATAACAAGGATAGAAGATTTAAAATAAGCATGTGTTCATTTATATTGTAAATATATCATTGCCGTTATTTGATATGAGGTACACGTTATACATAATATTTTCTATTATTAAATGTATATGGCTACCAAATCTTATTTATAGTCTATTATGGGGGAGCTTTTTGATTAGACAATATTTTAAAACTGCCATTGATGTGTAAATTATATAAATAAATTGTGTTTGCAGAAACATTCATGTAAGAAAGATGTATAAATGCAAAGAATGTAAACCGGCTTTCGAGATCAAACTATATTTATGATGGAATTATTAACGATGGGTTTAAACAGATTTTAAAATACTTTATTCGTGCTGCAACTTTGTTTCTATGTATAATAGGGAGCGTGATATTTGTTACTACTTATTAGTCTTACAAGAATACGTGTTCGAATCGAGTTAATTGCTGCATGCCATCTTAAATTACAGTAACAGTATTATATAACGTTATGTAATATGGTGTTAGAACTTAATTCCTCCAAAAGGTATTTTTACAACAACAACGAATCATATATTTATATATATTGTAATACATTATTATATTATACATAATGTACATAACATATTGATATGCTCTATAGGTATATAAGTGCGTTATATACATATAAAGCGCTCCCAATAATTATTGTTTATTACGATTCTGCACAATATATTGACTGTACTACATTCAATTGCAGTGGCTATTCTTTTTAACATAAGCAGTCAAGAACATTAATTGTTAATTATACAATTCATCCGCGTTAACATCCCGAACCTGAGAAAGTACACTTTGTCTCGTTTATGAACACCAATTTTAACGGCAATTTTAAGTTGACATCGAATATGTTAGTATATCAAGTATTTGATCGCTATACACTTTATGTTCATGGTTCTGTCATCTGTCAGAAGGCTAGAGGATAGAACAAAAGACGGCAGAATAAAAGGGCATTTGCGAAGAACAATGTACAGTTTGCTTGCGACTCTTTCAACGTTAAATATTGCACGGCAATTCATCAGTTACTTTCATTGAAAATATTAGACATGAGTCTCGACAAAAGGCGTGTCGTGTGCTAATTTTATTCTATAATACATGATAATGCGGTAGTAATTTGCTGTTAAAAGGAATGTTTTGGAGAGTCAATAAATTGTCGAGAAAAACTTAATCGTTAAATTTGCGATTTGTATTGTGTCCGAACAGTGCGGAACGGATCTCGGGTATCAACTGTTGCGCTATCAGCTCTAATCTGGTCTCCAGAGTATTGCTAATTTTTATGCGCCCTGTAAAACAAAAATTTCCTATGTATTATTAATCAATATGATACAAAATACATCATTATTTCGCTGAGGATAGGTAAGGTTGTAATTCTGATCGCCGCAAATTTCTGCGATGCTACAAGTACATCCCATTATTTCTGCGAGACAGGCAAATAATTTCACGGACGGATATAATTACCTCTGGATGCTAATAGCTCCACACCTCCGCAGCTTTCGAAGGGTAAGAAATTATCGGTATCGATCTTAAAGATAACCTCCTTCTTAGTTTTCTGCTTATACTCCTGCTGAACGTGGTCGATGATGGACTCCACGAGAGGTATATCGACTTGACGAATACGAAGAGTAATGCTTGGCTCCGTTAGCTGTAAAAAGTATAAGTCATGCCGTTAAAAATATTTAGACGGATAAAACCACGCAACATGCAGAATTATGTAACACAAGTATTACTTGATAAAGCCCCTGGATGATGAGCAGCTGAAGAATTTCTCTATATTGCGCGGGATTCTGGGTTACCTCACCTAATCTCTTTCTAGCCTCGTCAAGGACATTGCGTACATGATCTTCACGCACTTTTAGAGCCTTCAATCGTGCTTGGTTGAGCATGTTTGAGGATTGTCTACAGGAATAAAATTATCGACGCAAACATGTATTAGATATTGTTATTAAGTTTTAAACGAGGGGGAAACCGCCGAGGGCATTGTGGTGTGCAGATTTGCGGCATTACTGGGCATTAGGTCTTGCTGAGGCTTTATAAAGATAAAATAAGATAAAGTAATGCCCACTGGGCATTAGTGGGCATTGGTGTACAAGATTTTGGTCAGTGGTTTCCCCCGTGGTTTTAAACTAATAAGTTAAATGACAAAATTACAAGATTATTTCTTTGTAGTTTTCAATAGTTTGCATATTAAATGTACACGTCTTAAAATAATGTTTTATACGCACATCTTCTTTTGCAGCTCAACTTGCTTCTCCTTTTTCTCGTAATATTCCATGATCTTGAGGCGCTGTTGCTGTACCAGGCGGCCCTTCTCAATATTAAATTCTTCTTCCGCCTTGGCATCTATCTCCTCTGCCTTCTCATTGGCCTCTTGTTCTATGAAGGCCATCATATGCTTGATCTGCAACCGTACAATTTCTCTCTTTAAAGAAAGCCTCTTGTGCAGCGACGAAACTTACAACAATCGACTCTTCAAATCCACCCTTAAACAATATTTCATTCGCTCTCGAGGATGCGCAGTAAGTTGCACAAAAATATTTCTTCCCCAAGTCATGTCTTAAACGTTTAAATGCCCTATGGACGGCGAGGGCATGTACATGGGGGAAACGTTGAAAGAGTTCCTCGGCGAGACAGCAGGCTGCTGTCCAAGTTCCGCGGGCGACCATTTACTTATTCGATTTCGCCCAACGCTTGAACGTACGCGGACTCGCCGACGCAGGCGACGAATTCTGAGCGATTACCGAGGCCGAGATATAGCCGAAGGTGCTCGCGCGAGGCGTAACCGGGCCCTCTCGGGGAGGGGCCCGCTCGGCGAGACCGGCAAGCGTCCTGACGCACCGCCGAATAATCGGGGGAAGATATTAATAGCGTGACGGATCGCCAACGCTCGGCTCCTGGAGCTGGGCGAGCTGCGAGGAGCGCGTCGCGCGCAGGCCACCTTGTCCGCTCACCTGCTTCTGGACGTCCGCGTCGCTGAGAGCCATGGTGTCGTCTGGTCGGTTCTCTTCCCTGAAGATGCTCGGCGGGGCTCCGCGAGGGCACGGGATCACGAGGCGCGGTGCAGAGGAGTCGTCGAGTCAACGCCTAGGGCAGCACGTCTGATGCTCGGCGTAACGTCGGTCATATGACCCGAAGTGTGACCCTCGGGCGCGTCCCGAAACGCACGCGGCCGCGGCCGATGGTGGGGTGGATAATGTAACTAGGTTGCGTTCAGAAACATCGCTCAGGCTTCTCTCTCCCGTTTGAAATCCTCCAGAAAAGAAAAATCACTAGGGCCGCCGGTGTCAGGCGCGCGCGCCTTTAGAGAAGTCGCTTGCGCGTCCGGCGAAAGTCGCGAATCCACGGGGAGAGGAGAGGGAGTACACCGATTAGTTTCGCCGAGTTTCGTGACCATGGCGGATCCGTTGAGTCTGCTGCGGCAGTACAATGTCAACAAGAAGGAGATAATCGAACGGGAGAACCAGATCATATTCGGCGAGTTCTCCTGGCCGAAGAACGTCAAGACCAATTACCTAACTTACGGGTGAGTGGCGCGACGACACGCTCCGTCGCGGTGCCGCTCCGCGGGGTCGCAATCTGCTTCCACTGCCATTTTTAAAGCGAGCGCAGGAGAGCCGGGAGAGTGGCGAGCAAGAGAGAGAAAGAGTGAGAGAGGGGGGACACACGTTGTACGAGACATGGGGGCCGCTTGAAAACGGCAAACAGACAAGCGCGTCGAGATGACAATTAGAAAACTCGCCGTCGCGAGTGAACGCTTGGGGAGTGTCGGAGGGAGTCGCGGTTAGAAGCCACGTGCTCCTCGCCGTGATATTCTTGGATCCCGCGGGACTCGACGACTTTCTAACAGCGAATTCGGTTGTTCGCGCTAGTGCGCACCAAGACTTGTTTACAGTCGATTCTTGCATCTGAGAATCGTCTGAAATATTTCTTGAGACACTTCGTAGCCAGTGAAATGGTCTGGACAGCGTCCGCGCGGATAACATTTCGGGTAAATGCTCTTTGAACGCGTACTTGAGACCAAAGTTAAGTATAAAAGCTGACCACAAACTGGCCTTAGTGTGCGCTCGGCGCGCACTAGTGCGAGCAATCGAATTCGCTTTAATATTTGTGCCTCTTTAAGCCCGTAGCGGACTACTGATTGATTAGATTGAAAACTGGCCAATTGGAGTAAAAGTTACAAAACTTGAGGTTGATAAACTTTACTGCGATTGGTGAAATTTCAGTCTAATCTCAATCAACCGCAGCCTGGTAGGGGCTTTACGGTATCTTCTGTACTCTTGAGCTACATTTCGCCTCTTTTCTCTGTGAACTTTACAGCGAATTCGATTGCTCGCACTAGTGTGCGCTGAGTGCACACTAAGGCCAGTTTATAGTCACCTTTTATAGTTAACTTTGTCTTAAATACACGTTCAAAGAGATTTGGCCAAAAACTTATCCGTATAGATGCTGTACAGATCATTTGACTGGCTAAAGCCTTGTGTTCACGATTCAAGAACTGTGTCCAGGTTCTAGCTTCAAGAAATGTGCAACCAATCAACCTGTATCTTTTATGGAAAAGCTGCAAGTTGACTGGCTACGCATTTCTTGGAACTAGAACTTGGACACAGTTCTTGGATCGTGGACACAAGGCTTAAGAAACACATCAAGAGATGTTCAAGACGATCCCTAAATGTAGGAATTGACTATAAACAAGCCTTAGTTTGCACTCAGTGCGCACTAGTGCAGGCAACCGAATTCGTTAAAGCGTCGCCTACGGGTGCTTTCCAGCGAAGGACACAGATTGACACAGTGTTACGCAGAGAATCATTTTGTCCTCGTTTAACAAGGATAAAACGACTCGCTGTGCTGCGCGGTGTCGCCTGCGTACGTTGCTGAAATGCACCCTTCAGTTTGCTTGCAAGTCTGTAGGACCATCCTTACTCTGGAGTTAGATTGCGGATATAAGATTGTTATTTTGCTTTCTCAGTTCAGTTAAAGGTGCAAGCTGCGTCGTGGCAGTTAAAGTTGCGAATTAAACGCGCGTTTGTACGAAACAATTTGTATCGAAAGCAAGTATGTCACGTTTATTCACACCGCCGTTTAAAGTATCGATGATAACGGCGTTATATTTTGGTACAAAGTACGAAGAATGTCGAGAGGGATACCTACGTTCCTTTCCATCTTGGTTTTAGATCCGGAAAAGAAGGGACGCCCAAGGAGTACTACACGCTCGAGTGTCTTCTGTTCCTGCTGAAACATGTTCAGCTTACGCACCCGGTGTACGTGCGACAAGCGGCCGCGGAGAATATCCCGGTGGTGCGTCGGCCCGACAGAAAAGACTTGCTGGCCTATCTCAACGGCGAGACCGCCACGTCAGCCGCCATAGACAAGTCGGCGCCGTTGGAGATCCCGACTCAGGTGAAGCGCGCCGCCGAGGATGGCCTGGAGAGCGGCTCGTCGAAGAAACCCCGTTTCGAGGAGACCCACGTGCAGAAGGTGAAGGAGCAATTGGCCGCGCGTCTGGACGCTCCCAAGGAGGCCTCGGTCACCGTCGACAACATCAAGTCCCTCTCGGAGGCGATGTCGGTGGAGAAGATCGCCGCGATCAAGGCGAAACGTCTGGCGAAGAAGCGCACCACCATCAAGGAGAACGACGACATCGGTATGGGCTCGGATCTGCGCGTGATCCTCGACATGGACGTAGACGACACCAAGGACATTGTGTCCCGCGAGCGCCAGTGGCGGACGCGCGCCACCATCTTGCAGAGCAGCGGCAAGATCTTCGCGAAGAACATCTTCGCGATTCTGCAGAGCATCAAGGCGCGCGAGGAGGGCAGGCAGAAGGGCCCGGTAGTGCCCACGCCCATGGTGACGCCACGCTCGACGCCCATGCGGCCTTTGCCGCAGCCGGCCGTCTACAACCGTTACGATCAGGAGCGTTTCATCCGGCAGAAGGAGGAGACGGAAGGCTTCAAGATCGACACCATGGGCACGTACCACGGCATGACGTTGAAGTCCGTGACCGAGGGCTCGAATCCCTCCGTAAGAAAACCCCCGACCAATCCGTCCGCCACGCCGACCTCCGGTCTACTGCCAACTTCCGCTGCTAAACTAACGCCTCAGCAGGCCGCACAGAACAAGCGACCCAGCCGAACGCCCATTATCATTATTCCCAGCGCCAACACATCTCTCATTACCATGTACAATTCTAAGGACATCCTCCAGGACTTGAAGTACATCAGCAACGAGGACAAACGGGCGCAGGGCTGCAAGCGGGAGAACGAAGTGCTTCTTCAGCGACGCAAGGAAGGCGGTCTGACCGTACCTTACCGAGTGGTCGACAATCCGCAAAAACTCACCCACGCCGACTGGGAGAGAGTCGTCGCAGTGTTCGTCATGGGACCAGCATGGCAATTCAAGGGTTGGCCGTTCGATGGCAACCCGGTGGAAATCTTTTCGAAAAGTACGGAAAGATCATTTTCCCCGCGCCTAGTATTTTCGCTGTACTTCGTACAATCTCTCAGATTTTTCTCATCTTGTTGAAACAACGTGTCGTAATAGACTTGGTTCAGGCGTTTTATTATATTGCAAAGATTACACTGAATATAACGGTAAATTCTCACGGAAAGAGAAAAATATAATTCGCATCGATGTCATTTGTATTTCGCGACTTGGCATCGTATATCTTGAGTGTGTAAGCGGTTGTTCTTTTCTCCACAGTATGCGCATTTCATTTGAAATACGACGAGATGAGACTGGACACAAACGTAGCGCGATGGGCCGTCACAGTAATCGAATTGAGTCGGACGAAGAGGCACTTGGACAGAGCGGCGTTAATGATATTTTGGGAACATCTCGACAAGTGAGCACCTTATTAATTTAACTTATTATCACGCGTATCTCTTTCACAATATAACAATCTTACTGCTGAACTTAACATTAATTAATTTTTTCATTCTCGTTACTTTGCGAAGAGTACATGTATTAATACGCATTTTTTTTCGTCGATATTATATTAATCCCTGTATAATAATGATCGAGATAAATTCTATTTTTACAGGCATATGATCAAGAACAAGCCACATCTTCGTTTCTGAGGTTCTAAAGCAACTGATATTGCAAAAATGGCAATATACGGATCGTGGCGTCTCATGTCCCCATTAGTTGGAACTCTCACGAGAAGATACAGGGCCGCGGGGCCCTTCGGCGGTGGTGTTGTGATGCTGACTATGCGGATATTAGGTATCCGCGACAAGCGATGTGATGTGTGATAACAGGGTCGTTATCACGTTACGTTAGATGCGTTTACATTCTATTGTTGCTTACACGAATAAAATACTAAAGAGAAATTACGTAAAATTATATCTTCGATTGAAAATTGAGTACAGTGGTTCTGTATTAAACTCCAAGCTCATATTGCGCGCTCGGAGCTCAATGCGGCCGTTTGCCCCTCGAGTTTTAATCGAGCGGAATACGAGCGCGAGGAGAAAATTTCAAGTGCCAACGCGACGAGGGTTTGCCTCGTCCAATTTTTCACAGGCAAACGAGCAAGAGAGGATTACATTTCGACGGTCGATAGCGGTGTTAAGTTTCTTTTGCGCGTGCTTTGTAATTCGAGACGCGATGCCGTCGATCCTCCCGAGGGAGAAAAGACGGGGCGAGGATACGCGGGAGCGGGAGAGATTCGGTTCTGTTTTCTCTGCTCCTAAAACCAAAGCCAAAGTAAATCGCTCGCGGCGCGACTTCGGTACGATTGACTGGCCAGCATTGTTTATACGGCGGCGGATCGAATATTTCTAACTAGATTACCGACGCCCTATTACTTGGACAAATACGACGGATTTACCCCGTCCTCCCCGACGTCCTCGCCGCCAGCTCGCCTCTCCTTCTCCGAGCGAACGTCGCTCGAGGGAGGCGATCGACAATCGTTGCGCGTTTCTTTTCAATTATCCCGTCGTGTTCTCTTGCCTGGAAAATTGAATAACGTCGCTCCTTCCTTTGCACAGCGAGCTAAATATCAGTTAACGAAACCGTGACAATGTAACTGGGACATGTAAATAATGTAATACTTCGCAATTAAAGCAAATTTCCTAAATAGGTAAAGAAGACTGTGATGTTTCAACCCGCACGAGTATTTTCTTCAATTTCATCATTTTCTCATCTAGGAGAGTTAATATTAGGGGGACTATTCTGCGGCGATCAACCGTGATAAATATTTGTACAGCTCGCTGTACCGCCCGAGAAATACACATTCAAGTGAACTTGTAGTTGCATTGCGTGCAATTGGGCTGCACACAAGGGATGCTCGGCAGCATGGCGGGAGGCAGATGATGGAGTATGCCCGCCGATCTGGCGGCCGACAACCGATCCGCCGCCACTTGGGCGCACATGTGCGCGTCCCGCAGTTGCTGCTGCACGCCGGTGGTGAAGTAATTGTTGTAGCGAAAATTAAGAGCCACGGTCTCCTGATCGGCCGTAGTTTTCGCGAGCGGCAGGTCGGTGCCCTTGGCGAACTGCTCGGTCGGCACGATGTTCAACAGGCAGTAACCCGCGTCCCCGTAGACGTTTCTGGACAGGCTGGTGTAGATTGGTGCCAGCATCGTACCGGGAATCGGCTGCTGCTGCTGTTCCCCCGCACCGTTGTCGACGACCGTCTGCGGCGGCCGGAAAGCCGAGGACGCGTGGCCGATACTGGTCGAAATCGCGGACTCGGCGATGCCCAGGCTGTCGCTCGCAAAGTACTCGATCGCCTTGAGCAGGTCCTGGCCGCAGCGTTGCAGCACCAATTGCAGGACCGACAGCTTGGTGTTCGGGAATAGGCGGGCCAGAGTCTCCACGGAGGTCTGAGACACCAGGGTGGTTTCTCTGGCGTCCTCCGGCTTGCCGGCGTCGAAGAGGAGGCTTCTAGATCTCGAAGTGGTCTCCAGGCTATCCTGAGAGGATTACAAGGGGAGGATTACGTAGAAGGATCCTTAATCAACGATGGACTCGAATTGACCCTTTACGTACAGAACAGTTTTGGACACGAGCGGGTGCGGCGTCGTTGCTCGACACACGTGGGAGATCTTTCGAATCCTCGGAAATCCCGTCGACTTTCTTCGTAGCGGGAGTCACGTCCTCGTTCCGGCCCACCGTCGACTTCGGCTCCGTCACGGACATCCCGAAGATCTTGCCCGGCGGAAGTCGATCGAGCTTCTGTCCGGTGGCCACCTTTGCCATTTTAAGAGCGATCGCGTCTTCGGCTGCCTGTTGTCTCTTAAGAGCAACCTTGCCGGAAACAATTATCTTAATCCATTTCCAAATTTACATTCTTCCAACCTGCTCATCCAAAATTTTATACATTTCAACGAGGATCATCTCGCGAACTTTGCATTGCTTGAAAGCAGAGAAGAGTGTAAATTATAGAAAACAAATTTATAATAATAAAAATATACATAGAGGAAAGTTCTCTACTATGAGATAGCAGGTTTTCAACACTCAAATTCAATCGCAAATCTTTTTTTCGCAACGATTACACGATCTAACAATTAGGCTCCTATCTCATAATAGGGGATTTTTCTTCTATGTATAAAAATTTTTTAAATATGTGTGCATATGACAGGAAACATCCTAATGTACAAGATTCTCTCTAGATGCTAAAAATAGTTAATTAAAAATATTAAATACCATTATATGAATAATGCACATGCATATCTAGAGATAAACTTGAGAAAAAAAGCGTGAATTTGAGAAAATATCTCAATATAAAATATTTCTCACCAAGTGTGTTGGAAGTAGACAATTTAGTCGTAAAATCTCGGAGACTAGAACGAATAAAAATACAGTCCGCAATATCGATTCGCGGCTCCATGCTATAATTAATATGGCAAAATGCACGTCGGACATGAAGATTCTCATACGTGGCGCATAGCAATCGAATGGTGATAGATCATGACTGCGCTCGACTTATAAATGGACCCGTCGCTTATGTACGGGCCGCATTTACCGCGGCTGTTATTCCAAGCTGGACCACCCGCAATAATCTTTCACGCTGACGCCGGGGAGAATCTACTAGGTCGGCCGCCTTCTTCATCCCATTTTCTCTCGTCGATCTCCGTTCGATCACCGCGGTCCGAAAGGGATAACTATCCAATTTCACTCGGCCGGGTCAATATATCGCCATGTGTTCCTCTCTCCTCCGTTTGTTACAAAAGCGTTCGCTACAAAGTCTTATTTACGAAAATACGCCGGCGAATTGTACGACACAAAATTCAACGGCGTACAATTAATATCAGGATTTACGTCAATGGTAACAATGGCACGTGTGCCCTTCTATTGAAGAAGAATATTTCGCTCTTTGCTCTCTGAAAATCAATCAGCGAATAGTCACTGATTTGCAGTTATAAGTGTAGTCTGGTAGCACAGTACATTGGCTGAACATTGGCAAAATGTTGGTCGCATGTTGGTTACATTAGAAATGCATTGGCCGATATTGTCCAACATACATGGTCAATATTAGTCATGGAACAAATGTAAATATTACACGATAATAATTATATAATATTACATTTATATTGGAAGTGCATTGGCCAATATTTAGTAATGCAATAAAAATATTAGTACAATATTAGACCAATGTTGCTAAATAGACACATTGGCTGAATAAGAGAAGGCATGAATATTACAATATTAGACCAATTAGACCGCAAAAAATTTCTATAAATAACTACAAAAAAATTGACTTGAAATAGAAACTTGTAGAAATTTTTATATCTTCGTTGAAACATTAATTTTTTTGTAAAAATATCTACGAAATAGTCCCGCAAATTACTATGTTCTCAAATTAAGAAATTATTGCAAATGTACAATTTTGTAAAAATTATTACAAAACTTTACTAGTTTGTTTACTAGTAAACTTTACTAGTTTAAAAATTTGAGAAACAACAAAATATTACAGAATTAAAACATCTGCTTACTTGTAGAATATTACAAAAATTAACAAAAGTGTTCCAGTTCTAGCATTCCCATGGTGATTTTTATAACACTTTTTAAATTTACGTAGAATTTCTTAGATTCTGGAAGTTACATTTTATAGTTTTGTAGAATTGTGTAGAATTATTTCCGGCAAAGTGCCCCTAGCGGAAAAAATGTCTATAAATAACTACAAAAAATTGACTTGAAATAGAAATTTGTAAAAATTTTTATATCTTCGTTGAAACATTTATTTTTTGTAAAAATATCTACGAAAAAGTCCCGCAAATTACAGTGTTCTCAAATCAAGAAATTATTGCAAATGTACAATTTTGTAAAAATTAGTACAAACTTTACTAGTTTTAAAAATTTGAGGAACAACAAAATCTTAAATAATTAAAACATCTGCTTACTTGTAGTAACTACAAAAATTAACAAAAGTGTTATAAAAATTAGCATTTTCATGTTAATTTTTATAACACTTTTTAAATTTACGTAGAATTTCTTAGATTCTGGCAGTTATATTTTATAGTTTTGTAGAATTTCGTCTAATTATTTCCGGCAGGGTGGGAATACTAGATTTACGTCATTTCCCAATATTGCACCAAAGTATTGTGCTACTAGGGTACCACTGCGATTTTCAGTGGTACACTTATAACTGCAAATCAGTGACTATTCACTGTTTTCAGTGATAATCCACTGACTGACTTTTAGGAAGTGCATCTTGCGATATGTCCAGTTCCAGAACTTTTGCAGCGATTTAAAATTCAGCAAGTCGTAAGCATTCCAGCATAGCATGTACCGATAACATCTCTCCGAGTGATATTACTTCCGGTGGCGTTAATCACCGTGGATTAACCGAGTTTGCGCGCGGCGCGAAAGTTCTCCGCGGTAAAACCGCGCGCGGTTACACGCGGCGCACCGGCGATTATTACCGGATGGACGGTCGCGAACGCATGTTTTGTTTGACCGCAACCACCCGTGTGGAGTTTCTCGCTTCGCCTGACTATTTCCGTTCCGAAGATACACGCGGGGGTAGACGGCGAGAGCGTTGAAACGCCGCACGTCCGCTCGCCCCCGCGCGCTTACCGCATCGAAAGTCTCGCCGCAAACAAAGTATCGAGTATCATAATGCCTATGCAAACAGAAATGAAACGCTATACCCCGAGCGTTAATGGATTTAATTTACCTCGCCCTCCCGCTGCCGTTCTCGGTCGAGGACGGGGCCCCGGAGACGCGTTTACGCGTGTCGCGCCCGGATTCGAGGGGGTCCGGCCCGGCGATTACGCGCTCGCGTTTGGCAGAGTTAGGGCGAGATAAATTCCCGATAATTAAAAAAGGGGCGCAAGGAAACCGACAGCGGTATAATAAAAATGTTTACGAGATCCCTTGTACTCTATAAAGTCAATCGGTGGATGATTATCACTGAAAACAGTGAATATTCCACTGATCAAAGCCAACGGCACACGATACTATTATATTTTTCCTACTGGACTGATTTACAAGAGCCGATCAGGATTTAGCTTTAAGTCAGCCGATCTAAAACTCTGCATCCTTACTGGTTCTCGTAAGCAATGCGGTAGGAAAAATAGTGTCGTGTGCCGTTGGCTTGAGTTATTAGTATAGCACTCTCTAAACATCAATCAGTGGATTATCACTGAAAACAGTGAATAGTCACTGATTTGCAGTTCTAAGTACACC